GAGACACTAAAAGTGTAGCATCAGCACAACCGACCCCATGTGACTGGTAAGTGCCTGGCCTAACCCCGGCGAAGTAGTGACGAGGCTAGACAGGACTACCAAATCAACCTGTGCAGTTCAATATATATATAGGCAATAAAAGGGAAGAATACAAAAATTAAACAGTTAAGAGGGAGGGAAGCATACTATGGTGGAGTACAGTCCGGATATAAAGTCAACAATTTAAGTAAGAAACAGGGCAATAACAATAATTAATGAGAGTAGGAAAATCAACAGTTGCACGACATCAACCTTCGTGCTTTTACTCTCATTCTCACCAAAAGCAATCAAATAAAGTGCGCGGCATCACCCTTCGTGCTTTCCCTCACATAACTCTCATATCATGGCACGGAATGATCCTTCGTGCAATTATAATCAAATCAGAGCACGGAATGTCCCTTCGTGCATAAATAATCAAAACATGGCACGGAATGACCCTTCGTGCAAATATAATCAAAACATGGCACGGAATGACCCTTCGTGCAAATATAATCAAAACACGGCACGGAATGACCCTTCGTGCAAATATAATCAAAACATGGCACGGAATGACCCTTCGTGCAAATATAATCAAAACATGGCACGGAATGACCCTTCGTGCATTATCACTCTTCCTCACCCAAACAGTAATCACAACCAAGCGGGGCGAGGGGATAAACAAATAATGAGAAATGTCCCGGCAAGGGAATTACACAATTAACAGCTAAATCCCGGCAAGGGAGCAACAACAATACTTTCACATCCTGGCAAGGGAGATAATCAATATACTCAAACCATCCCGGCAGGGGATTAATCATATCACTTTTTATTTCTTTCATTTCTTACTCAATAGACTTTATATCGTTCGAGCCAACGCTCCAAAGAATTTACAATGCATAATTAGTCCTCATGAATTCATCAATTAACATGGAAGAGTCATAACAATATCAGGATAAGTACATACAAGGACCCGCGGTCATGCTAGGCACCGGTGTATAGATACTCGTCACCATGCCTATACACCGTACTCGATCATTTAGCAATTAGCAAATAATAACACTCTAATCCTATTACCTCAAGCCAAAGTTAGATCAAACACTTACCTCAAATGCTCCAAAATCAACTCAAGCCTCTAGTATAGCTTTACCCCTCGAATTCGGCTCCAACTCAGTCAAATCTATGAAATAATGACTTTACAACATTAATAATAGCTAAACAAACTAAACCCAATGCCTAAATATGAATTTCTAAGCTTTCTACCCAAAATTCCAAAAATCGACCCCGGGCCCGCTTGGTCAAAACCCGAGGTTCGAACCAATTCCATGTCACCCATTCCCCTACGAGCCCGGATATACAATTTGTTTTCAAATTCGACCCCAAAACGAGGTCTAAATGAAAGAAAATTAAAAAGCCCTAATTCTACCCTTTTCCCCCAATTTACACCTTAAGTTACATGATTTAGGTCTAGGAATTTGATAAATGATGATAGAAAATGAAGAAAACGAGTTAGAAGATACTTACCCGAAGAAGCTTTGGTGAA